TCACAAGATAATTTAACATGTCAAGCAAGTCCCAGGGGCAGTAGTCAAGATTAGTAGTATTAAGCATTAACATTAAGAGCCAAGGAAAATTCAGCGAAATGATTTAACTAATATGGCCCTCACATAATGACTTATTTAGCTACGCTTTGATATATTACAAGTCTTGTAGCTGAGAAAAGCCATTTACTTGCAAAGCACTAATAAAAAATGAATATTAATAAGTTTCCCTGCATCACCACAGATTATAATAACAGCATCTGTTATTGGCTATTGGGCTGCAATAACTTGTTAGTAGCCTTGTCTTGGATACATCGATTGTTTCTGGATGTTTCTGGATCCAGGGGGGGTCCCACAAACAGGATGGGATGGATCTGCGGGGGGTTGGGGGGTTACTGCTTCCAACTGACAAACACTGGGACGTTGTTTCTCACCACATGCATTTTCAACTTTTTAAGCTCAGTGCTTATCTTTACAAACATTCCTCACACGGGGAAACATCCTCTCTCTTTTCTGTGAGCAGTCAAACTAAAATTTTAGACTTTAATCTTCATAGACTTCATGTGTGTTCTGTTTTGCAAGTTGTTTTTCTCCCTTTTTTCCACTTATAGTTCCCAGCTTTCCTCACCGTTGTGTGGAAAACGTTATACATTAAAAAAAAACTCTCCTGTAATATTAATTCCCCCATGATGCCTATGACTCCATTCGACGGATCTTTGAAATACATTTTAAATGGTTTTGCATTGCGTGAGACACAATTTCATTGGCGTTTGGAAGATCTGGACAGTCCTTTGGGCCCAATAAGAGGCAAGTTCATTAAAAAAAATCCCTAAATTAATATACAGAATCCCTCATATGTAAATAGCAGAGAGGTACAGAGGTCAGCAGTACATCTTGCTTTATTTGATCTGTTTATACCCTAGATAACATGGCACGAATGTATTTTGTGCATTGTGTGTCCTCATTATAGCCACATTGTTAAAAAGGTGAATGATTAATCGATTCTAAAACATAACTGAGCAACTCTCCACTTTGACTTAATTCTGAACACGGCTGCCTCTCCATCTGCCTGGCTCTCAGTGCAACCCCAGCATCGCAGCAGGATTCACTTGGCAGTTAACGTGTGTGCAGTCACTTCCAAACAGAAGCAAAACCTCAGTCCAACGTGCCGGATTTGGGACCATGGAGGGCACTGGGTACTTTGTGACCATTATGCTGATCATTCACTTTTAAAGCAGAGTATCCAAAATAATTACCATCCCACAGTGGAAATGGCACTAATGGGTTTGTTTGCGGGTTCTGGCCCTGGAGCTCGCTCCCTCTGTGCGTGTTTTTCTCCCGGGAACAAACAGTCGGCTGAGTTTGGCACCAGTAGCTGGTCTGGCAGCCTGAGGGGTTAATCGCTACTCACTACTCAGTCACGGGGATGTGAGAAATGAGCCGTTACTTTCTGTAGGATCAGTGAAGAGCGTTCAAAAGAAACTTCGTCTAGGATGATCGAAGTAAAGGGCGATCTTACAGTGCATGTATGCAAATCCAGAAATGTTTCCAGAAGGATCTATCCAAGGGGAGGCATGTTTAATGGGGGGTCTGCATCAGGAATCACGCTGTACTGTAGGTCTGTAGCCCTGTCTGGTACAAAAAACACACAGTCATGTGATTATTATTTAGTGAACACACAGCATTTTAGTCATGGGACAGCGCAATCACATGTTTTTTATGGCCACAGTGTCTCATGAAGACAGATGCTGCATATTTGCCTGATGATTATGTCGAAACCCACTGTCACAGCTGCTCTGGTTACCAAGCATATGCAAATGCATAAAACAATCACCACATTCCTGACAATAAACAGACAGGCGAAATATTAATGGATAAATGGTCAGATCCTTCTCTGTGAATCCTTTCAATCTCCATTACATACACAATATACACCAGGACTCTGCATTTTTGTAGTAATTAATATGACAGCCTGAAGAGTCATACAGCATCCAGCTCCTCTGCTCATCTGACATGAACATCCGTTTCATTTTTAAAGGAAACAATGGTAATTAAAAAGCCATTTTAATTTCGGGCAGCCTCCTCCCATTTACTCTGCAATAAGTCAGGACAATGGTCTGGCATCAAGAGCTGAATCCATAAGGTGTTGTTATAAAGATATTAACTGGATCAGTTTGTCTACAGCCTCCTTTTATTTGCCTATTGACACTCTTCCAGTAACTTAAATTATGCATGGATCTTCAAAGGGGAAGTTTATCTAAAAGGGTGATTGCAGTCAATATGTGATGCTGATTTTTCCCAGTAGGTTTTAATCCTGACTCAAGGAAACATATCTTAACTGTATGTGTGTGCATATGTGGTGTGTGCGTATGTGGTGTGTGCGTGTGCATGTGCATGTGCGTGTGTGTGTGTTGGTTTGCATAGATCACATTTGAGGACCAAATTGTCCCCAAAGTGTAGTAGTAAATTTCCCTACTTTTGGAGACATATTTTGCGGTCCCCATTTGGATAACCTCAGTTTTATAAAAAATCTGTGAATGCAATCAAAAAAGTAAAAATGCCAAAAGTCTTGTATTTGGGTTGGTTACTTATGGGTAAGGTTAGGGATGGGTAGGGGTTAAGGCTGTCGTGACTGGGATTAGGGTTTTTCCCATAGAAATGAATGGACGGTCCCCATTTAGATAGGAAGACCAACTTACCAGTGTGATTTAATGTGTGTATGTGTACAGCAGCACCCGTCTGTGAAAGATTAACAATTATGCTAAGGGACAGATGGATATGCTGAGTGCTATACACCCATTTGTGTTTGCATAATGGTGGCCAGCACAGTGATGGGTGACAGTATCACCACAGCAGAGGGACACTGGCGAGACTGAGATTGGTTCAGAGGATAGATACAGCTTTTGAAACACAGTCTGGAGTAATTACACCCCCACTGGATGCAGACACTGATCCCCACGCATGTGTGAACTGGAACTGGACTGCCCAGCTTCAGTTCAACACTGTAAAGGTGATGCTGGACCACAAATTCTGCTAATCTAGGTTTACTGGAGAAGGTAGCTTTACCGTATTTACTGTAAAATATACACCTCCAGTATACGGTATGTGGTAACAATCATTAGCATGCGTCTCACATGATTTTTCCTCAGTCCCTGCAGATCCACACCTTGAATACGAGACTTGAAATGGATGGGTGAGCTAGACTCTTCAAGGTAAAAAAAAAAAGTTGTGACTGGATGATTGTATGCGGTTGATATACTGTACTTTGCAGGCCAATTTCACTTGAGAGTTTATGTGTAACGTAATTTTTCTTGTTTTCCTAGACCAGATCATGCAGATGTGGTTCGTTCCTGCACTGAAATTCAAATGCGGCCTTGACGTATGCCTTTGTGAAGGAGGTCTCGCTGTGCACACACACCCCCGGGCATTATATCCTGCTGAGAAGCTAGCCTTTCTCCCTGAAAATGGTAGACCAGGATGCAGGGCTGAAGGGCTGGCTCAGATATTCTGGTACGCTGATGCCGATGCCCTCTTCTCTGAGAACATCAGCTCTGGATCCGGCACCTTTTGAAGACCCCTCAGCATAATTTCACACCAATCTGATACTCATGGTGACCCCCACTTACATTTTAATTTGGTGTGTTTCTCAAATAAACTGACAGCGTCTGTGATGGGCCCCAGGCCTGGGCTGGAGTGCGATTTGGCTAGAATTGAAATTCAGGTGATTGAATTTCCCTTGCTGCTGGTGTCAGTAATGCAGAACCATGGGATGTAAGACTGATGCAAACACTAAAATGTCCAATAGAGAAGTGGGCGGCTAAACCCTGACATATCTCATGCAGGGCTACAGGACATGTCACATGGCATTCATCAGTGCACCGACACTGGACGTCACATGCGTGGACACATCACACACATGCACATTTGCCCACATGCAGAAGGCAGTTGATCAGTGCAAATAATCTGGGTTTTTTTGGCCTGTTAAATGGGAACCGACAGTGGAAACCCACACAAACACATGGGGCACACAACACATACTGTACACACACAGCTGGTGACAGATTCACACCCATGACTCTGGGGAATGAACCACTGTGGAGCCTGTACTGTAGGTACACCACGTGATCTAGCAGTATCCTTCACATTTACTTGTGATATAAGGGGTGCAGTAAGAGATGGGAAAGGCCTTATTACCGCCGTCAATGTTATCTCCTCCTCTCTTTACTCCTGGTGACTCCCTGGTCTTTTCAAAAAGCAAATAATTGACACCAGTGTCCAATTTCCACAGCGATTTCCCCATCAGTGGGAAGATGGCAGAGTTTCTCTTCTTCATGTGAGAACAGCTGGCGTGGTCGGAGATGGAGTTGCTCCGCAACCCGGGAGTAATTTAATGGGGGGTCCGGGTGTTTCAGGAAGTAAATACTAACAGCAAACAAAAATTACAGAAAAGAATGACAATGTTTTAATTGCATCAGACCAGTGATGAGAGCTCCAATTCAATTTGGCAAAAAGGTTCTGGATTTATTATTGGACCATTGCTAGGAAACAGGATGCTTGCTTGTTGTTTTGTTTGGTTGCTTTCTTGTTGCTTTGATTTGGTTGCTCGCTTATTTTCTTATTTGCTTGTTTGTTTGCCTGGTTGGTTGGCATGTATAATTCGCTTTGTCCTGAAGGGTACAATGACTCATGAAAATGTAGTTTGAGAACCTGCTGATGCAGGTTATCTGGCCACATCCAGCCTCACTGTACCTCATTCCACCTTGCCCCCCAGTTTGAGCCAGGGCCCATTTTGATGATATCACAGCCCCTAACACAGCCATAAAGTCCGTGGGGGGTGGGGGCTGTTTACCCTTAGCTGTCATAGCCATCCTACAGCCCGGTCTGGCTATTTGCATATCAGGGGAGGCGCCTGTCCATCCATTGGCCAATCAGAGATGGCAAAGGTGAAAAGCACAGGCTCACATGTAACAGACCTGGGGTGTGCCCACATATGCACAAACAATATAACAGCACAGAGCCTCTGCTCCAACAACAGGAGCTCAGACCCAAACTGCAGTGCGGCACATGGTCACAGGCAACAGACTCGGAGAGGCTGAGTTACCCAGTTTCGAATCAGAGAGTCGGGAGAGTCGGTGAGTCCCTCTTCCAGCTTCCTGTTTCATGTGTTTTATCAGATTTGACCCAGAGCTATGTCCTGATGACAGGCCAGCCTTTAAGAAGGATTTCAGTGACTCTGTCGGCATGACCAGAATAAATCGCAGTACAGAGCCACATAACGCAGGCGTGGACATGGCAGGCGGCTCATTAATCGCGGCACGTTCCTCTGAACAGCAACGCTCTCAACTCGTTAAATCGCTGCCTCCTCATAAAGCTCAGTTTCGATCTTTGCTGAATTTTTTAAACACTGTTTGTTGTTGTTTTTTCCCTTTTGAGCATTCGAAATTCAGTAGTTGTAATTACCCCCGAATAAACTTTAACAAAGAAAAGGAACGCTGATGATGAATATAGAAACAGTCCCCACAGAGATGCAAACCACAGAGAACAATTTGGAAATATGTGGGAAAGGAGTCATGGAACTATCTATAAGTTCTCACAAGCAAAGTTGGTTTGTAAAAAGTCAGTGAGCCATTCACACAAGTGGCTACTTGAACTATTATTTGGAACCAAAAGAGTTCTGACAATCAAAATAAAACCATGCCATGTCAATGATCTGCTGAGGTGGGAGGGGGGGCTGCCAGTAA